CGTTCCCAATGGGCAGTTGGGCTCGCCGCCTTCAAAAAGGTATTTTTTGTTCATTTTTTTCATATTTTAGGTTTAGTTAACGAATTTTAGCTCCAAAGTCTCTCCATAGATTTTAATGAGCGATACCTTAAACGACGCCAAATTAACGCACCTATACACAAAAAAATAGAGGACACAAGATATAATTTTTTTTCGACTTTTCCTGGGTTTTTAAAGTCAAAATTTCGTAAAAAATACCGCACAAAAATCATCATTTTTGCATTTCAATGCTTTTTATTTCCCAAACGGTAAGCTGAAATCACAAAGTGTTTGGGCTTAACTTCTAGCTGTTTTAATTATCTTTTCAAAATAGCAAAGTTCTTTACAACCAGACGTAAGTTACTAGAGCTATGTGAAAACAACAAGCGCTTCCTCTAAAAAAAGCTTAAAAAAAAATACCAGACTTCAAAAATTGTTCAAAAAAAAGTTCTGCCATAGAAAAAAAACCATAATTCTTTAAAAAATTTTAAATCCCCATATCTATCAGAAAAAGTCGGTTTGGATCCTTGAGGAAAAAAAAAGTTCGATTTTGTCGAGTAGTGTAATTAATGGAATTCAGCCAACAAACCATTCAGAACACCTTTCCCGCTCGTTCATTTAATGACTTCGGCTCCCTTCCGCCCCTCGATCGATTGATCCATTAAATTAATTGACTGTAGTGGAAACGCTTGGCAAGCAACGTGTGTGTTCGGGCAGTCGACAGAAGAGAGGCGGAGAGGTGACCGTGGGGCAGTGTCGGACTCTCCATTGTCACATGCCCCTCGTGATGCCTGCAACAAATTGAATGGGGCTGACCAGCCGACAGCCGACGGTCGACTGCCGACGTGTCAGTAGCCAGTAAACCTGAGCGGGGCGCCTCCAGACGCTCTAATTGATGCAACATGCAAATGGGTTGCCCCCAATGTGGGGTTGGTTGCCAGGGGAGTAGGAAAAGAGTGTGTCCAGACCATCCGGCCATACGCAATCTGTTGGACCAGCTGTCCAAACATCCCAGACGCCCTGAAGTGGGGGTGAGGTCAGTGAAATGGGTTTTCGTTCCCAAAAAAGAATGTGACTTGTGTGTGACGTGCGGGAGGGGCAAGTAGGAGACAGGTGCGAGAAGTGTGCAAACAGCAGACGATATGTACATATAATGGATAAGTAAATTCAAAATTGGATTTTCGACTATTTTCAATCTCCGTGGGCTATTCCTGGCAGACTCAGACTGAGACCCCAGTCCACATTCCCCAGTCGAAGTCTCCGCCGGAACACGTGTTCTAGGCGGCTGCTTATCTCTAGTTGCCTTTGCGCTGGAGGTACTTTAATTAAGTTAACAACTGTTTCTGTAATGCACCAGCACCAGCATAGTAATTTTCCTTGGTTTTTCTTTGCTTTTAGCTGCACTCGCAGCAAACATGAAAAGACCGACCGGCACATGCCGCAGTGCTGGGATTGGGCCGTGCTTGGCTGCCTAAACGTTTGGCTTGGCTGGATTCCGTTTAGCTTCGATGAGCTGCCTCACCGGTTGGGACAGGGAGAGGAGAGGTGGGGAGACTGCACTTGCAATCGATGGCGTGGGAAGGCGAGCTGCCACAGAGTCACCCGTTGGCAGCGTTGTTTGCAAATTAATAATCTAGTATGCAATGCCAACTGGAGATGTACAATGAGTCCAATTAAGAGATAACCCCAGCCGCAGCTGGACGGTTGAGATCAGCATGCTGCCAGCTACCTTCATGGGTATTGAAAGGCGTAATTATCACTCGAGCTGGTCATTTGCTCAATGATTGAGGAAATGCCGCCAGCCCAGCCTTCGCACGCAATCCAAACTATCAATTAAGTCGCCTGGAAAATCTAAAAACACTATACAAGCAACCATTTTATCCTATGAGAAATACCAATACCAAAACCAAGACTGCGGACACACATTTTTCTACAGGCATACCTGCGTAGCATGCAATTCGCAAATAGTTTTCGAACTAGAGCGATTGCAGACATACTCGCAGAGGCACAGAGATCGGGAGAGAGAGAGAGAGCATTGATCAGTTGTATAAGATGACTGTTATATTATGCAGTTAGTTGTCACTATCTCCGACTTATGGTTAATTGCGTAATCAATGTGAATCGAAATGATTGTTCAATTTTCAGATTGTGTAGTAAGTGGTTCAGTAAGCAGCTACCCAATCAATAGAGGGGCTGCACGTATGGCTGCGATGGGCAGCTTTAAAGCCAAGAAGACGGATAGGAGTGATCCGCTTGACCACAGCCATCGCGGGTCAATTCAATTCCACTGATTGAGGCTCTTCATCCTCGGGTTGCTCAGGTTGCCAAGACGATGCAATTGATTTTGACCCATGAACCCAACACAATTACTCTCTAATTCAGTAAAGTACTATAGCGGAGTTCTATTGAAACCCCTGATTTATTGCATGGCTCCAGGGGTAAATTGAAACTTTTACTTCTTCTTTTCAAAGGGAAATGGTAATTGAATTTCACAGCCAACGTTTTTTGGCTTCCGCCTCTCAACCATCAACCATCTCCATCTCCCAGAACTGTCCTGCTGAAATGGCCATCAATTACTCGAAAATCTGGGAACGAGTTGGGCTTTTATTTCACTTATTTTGGCTACATTACCATTCCCATTCCATTTCGGATTCGGGGGCAGCATCACGTACAGACATTCCAGGGGAAAACTTTGCAGCCATTAAGCGTTTTAATGGGTTTCTAATTAATTTTTGTTTACAAATTACGCCTCAAGGCAATCGAAAGTGCACTGAACTCTGGCACTGGCACCAGCTTGGAAGTGAGAAATCAAGTGTTGAAACGACCGTAGGCTGTGTGCCGAACGCTGGATCATTGTAATGTCAAAGTCATAAAGCACGAAGCCAAATTGGTTTGATTGAAGAGCGGGTCGGGCCCTTATAATGAGAATGAGAATGAAAATGGTTTGAATATGAGCAGCAACAGAAACAGCTACGGCGACGACAGCAACGATAATTCATAACGAACTGGCAGCTAAAACAATTGTGTGTGCAACCTCGTGTTGCACATGCATGAGCAACAGCAACAACTTGTTGCAACTATCGTGACCATGAGGGTCAGAGTCAAAGTTCAATAAAATCCAATTAAATTGCTGCAGTCTCTCCATCCCGTCCCTCGAGTAGCACCCGCAGACCTGTACCGACCTTTCACCATGTCCCATTCCCCGTTGTCCGTAAATCTACGAGTAAGCAAGCCAACCTGCAGTAAAAACTAAAACCCCGAACAGACAAAGTTTCAGGGCATTTGATTTAATAAAAGGCCACGTAACTTTCACCAGCTCCAGCTCCAGGTCCGTTTCTGGCTGTGGCAGTAGCAGGGGCTCCTATCTGTCAGTTTTCAGCTCTCAGCTACCCAGCACCTCCCTGAAGCGCGACTCTGATCCGCAACCCGATTTCCGCACTGCAACTCCAACGCTGCTCAATTGAATTAAGGCGTGGCGAAGAGCGGACAGCGGAGGGTGCGAGCTCTTTCATTGTACAACTATGCCTGTGAAAAAACTTAAATAAATTATTTTCTCTGTTGGCTGCGTTTAATTTGTCGGGTCGGGTCTTCACTTTGGCTATTTTTAGCATATTTATTGCATGCGCAAAAAACAGGCCAACAATGCGGTCGCCACCAGAGTCGGTTACTGGAGGTCAATAAATGCTTGGAAATGTGAATCTTCCTCGAGTTTGGAGCGGCCTTTATGACAGCTGCTTCCGGCGTTGGGCCTTCGGGAGTGGGAGACAAGGGGAGAGGGCACTCGCGAAGCGATGAATTCCTTTGAAAGTGCTAGAGAAATAAAAACATCTAAATAGGGATAGAATAAATAATACAAGCATTTATCTACACAAAGTGTGAGCGGTATAATGCTTCAGTGTCAGGCAGCAAACACAAGCTACTCCTCCGTGGTCGGTTCTCTCTGCTGTTGGCTCTCATACATTATTCAAACTTCGACTCACGTCACTTGAACTCTTGACACTCGAAAGTTGCTTGGCATGTCTGTGACTTTGGCTCTTGCAATACCATCACAATATCACAAGCGCATCATTTGTCAGGGCACACAAATGATGTTGCATGTAACCTTATCATCTCACATCCGTTGCAGACAGACTGACCGCTGGCCACTGCTCCAGGAGCGTGGGTGGAGCAGGTGGCATACATACCAGACATCTAGGGTCAAACGCGTGAAGTTAGAATACGAGTAGCAAGACCATGGCAGACAAGAAAATACAATGGCACAAAAGACAGAGACAAACTGTAGTCCTCTTGCAGTTCATGCTCTTTGTGTCCCTGTGTCCCGTAAGTCCTGCTTGTCCATGTCCTGCACACAATGGCTGCTAATGAATAAACATGGCGTCCATTCACTTCCGCTGCAGTCTCCGTTCCTTCTCACAGCAATGGAGTAATAAAGTTACGTATACGCCATGTGTCAGTAGGAAAGTTGAGCAAACCAGCCACAAATTTATTGGGAATACTCTCCATGGGGACAACGGGGCAGACGTACTACATACATGTCCCGCCATCCCCTCATCTGGCTGAAGTGGACAAGTCTGTGACGGTGTCGGCGACACTGATGCCACTAATGACTGAAGGCAAGGGTAGGGAAAGGGGAATAGCCACATGAAGCGAATAAGTTGTTAAGCGCAGACACACCCACTTGGTCAAAAAACAACAGATTTTTTATCCCCCTTTAAGCTTTTTATGGGACGCACGCGGCAAATACTCCAGAGGAAACCATGTGAACTTCCCCCACGTCTGGTGGCCGCAACTTGGAAATTTGGCTGAAGGACAATCGAACAGAGTGCCAGAGAGTGCTGCACAGTGTGCTGGGACTGGCTAGGAGACTTGGGAGTCACTAAGCCAAGTTTTCGATAGAGAGTTAACTCATCTCATTTCCCGAGCTGTTTTTGAACCGATAAAAGATACATTAATAATGTCTCGTTTTTTTTTGTTATATTCAGATCTCACTTGGCCACAAACTGGAATGACGAAAGTCAGAGCGCACGAACAACGAAGTTTAATCAGCAGTAAAATGGCCTCCAGAAGTAGTGTAATCACATTTGGTTGCCTCCTGGCCTTAATCCACACTCTGGCACCCACTGAGGCCAATGTGCACCCAGTGCTTACGCACAAGAATGCCTCCTCCCTGCTGGGCCAGTTGGTCACCTCGAGCACACTGGTCTGGGAAAGCTACGATCCGAAGGATGCCACGCAGCTCTCTTATGCAGTCGAGGGCGGAAAGTACATCACGGAAGACGAGCACTATTCAATTTATGTTTGCCGAGTGACCATTGACGGGGTCCACACCTCCGGCCATACTGAGAAGATCCTGCAGGTACACAAGTGTGTGGCGGCTCACTACAAGAAAGGAAAGTACGAAAACTTTGATGTCCTGATGAACAAGGGACACCTGGGCAAGGTCGGCTGGAAGCACTGGCGCAAGTTTGATGCTGGCGTCCCAGTGGGTGCTATTCGAATTGGAGACGACTCGTTCATTGGCCGCCATCGGGCCACCCATCAACAGAACTCGGAGGGCATTGTAACCCATTGGGGGGCAGACTTTAACCTGGGTCGCCTAGATCCCCTTGGTCTGGGCAAAATTTTGGTCATTGAGAACGATCGTGAGAAGTACTACGATGATGGCGAAGTACTGATCGAGACGGAGCCATTCCGCTATGAACTGAGGGACATCAAGTTGGATCGCTTACGCACCGATCTGCGACAAAACCTTACCGAGCTGGGTGAGTAGACTATTGGATTCCATTTGGGTTGAAAACACCTAATTTAGCTTCATGTTTCCTTTTTCCATGGTAGCTACTGGTAAACTGGAGAATCTGGGCGACAAATACAGCACAGTGGAGACGGTGATGACCTACAGCTTCGACTATATTCAGTATTGGGGATCCCATGAAGGTGTGGCGCGTGGATTACCCACAAAAGTATTCGAAAAAGATATCATTATTCCTGCGGAAATCAACTGGGCTTTGAAAACTAGCGAGAAACGGATCGAAAACAAGGCGGTGCATACCAAGCTGTGGCCAGGAACAGCCATCAATGTGACGCTGCGTGGAACATATGTGACCCTGGAGGCACCCTACACTGCCAAACTGTTTGCCTTCTACTATGGCAGCGAAGAGAGTGTTTCACGGAAGATAAGCGCTGATGTAAGTGATCAAAGCGTAGCTCAGAGTCAAGTTCTAATCTATGTATATATAACAGGTTCGCAAGAGCTACTTGAAGGAAGTGAAGCTGGAGTTCAGCCCTGTCTACTGGATTGAAAACGGTACGTTTGTACCCACAACGACAACAACAACGACCTCTACCTCGACCACAACACATGCGACCACCACCAGCACCAACGAACCCACACCGATAAACGAGCCGCCACTGGTACATGTGAAGCATGTGGGGGAGAAGCACTCGGGTCCGGATACCCTGGAGAAGACATTGCACGATTCGCCGGGGGGCAATGAGGTTAACTCACACGAGGCGCCTGAGAATATGTCCTCCAATCCTGGCAAGGATGTGGCTCTGGCCGGCTTTGGAGTGAACGCAGCGGGATCGATGGCAATTACAGGATCTGCTTTCATGACGCTACTCCTGACACTGCTCTTGAGTCTGTAGATGCAATCGGAATCCGGACTAAGTGTAGCGTTTAATTGTTGTTGTTGTACCTGTTGTACCCGTCTTTGAGAGAGAATGGAGAAGAGAAATGAGGAATGAGGAAATTACACAAGAAGAGAAAACGAGGGAGAGTCGAAGCTAGACAGAAAGAGAAATAGGAATATAGGAAATACTCGTAGGGATCGGGCAGATGTGGAAACCAAAAGCAAAAGTTGATATTTTTTATACTTGTCCCAAGGCTTCTTCTTCTACAATACCCATTAAAGTGGTAAACAAATCCAAATCCAAATGAAAATTAAAATTTATAACAAGGAACAAGAAACAAAACATTCCTAAACCAAATCCCTCACAAAAGGAAATGAATCAAAAGTTTAGATTGTAGATTACACGTATGAAGAATATTTGAAACGTTTTTGAGTTGCTATGCAAAAAAGAATGTTTTATGATTTCAAATGGCTCCTCATTTATTTAGTTTGCTAAGCGGTAATCAATTAAAAGTAGGAAAAGTAATGACTAATGAAATGACAATTGAATTAGCGAGTATATTATTTTATGCGTTCAATAATACGATGTATATGTGTATGTTTAAACCGTAAAACCTATGTAAAACATAAGTATATATCTACCGCGTAAGTGAAACACTCCAAATATGTAAATTAGAAACTATTTCTTTGAATCTTTCAAATTAAGTATGATTTGCTCGCTGAACAGCCTTATCATTTAAGTTTATCCGCAATCTTTGATCGATTGGGTCAATTTATACCTATATACATACATACTTCTAATGAGAACGGATTCTCTTATTTCGAATTAAAATAAAAAATGCTTGTAAATTTCAATTGAATGATAATGAAATTGGGTTTTTTCTGTCTTCAAAACATATTTTGTATTCTGATGTATTCCTATGATTTCTCTAATACCCCAATATCAAACTTTGTTAATTTAGTTAGCATCTACTTTGGAAATGTTGATGAACGCATCGTTTGCACAAATTAAGCAAGATCTGCCAGATTGATTTGAATAGGTGTAACTCCTTTGTATACCATTCGAAATAAAGCAACGAAACCATTTCTTGGATACAAATTAAACCGCAACTGAAGCGAAAAACAAAACAATATTTTCTAAATAAGACAGTACTTTATACTATTTTACATATTGCTATTTTCAATATTTTCTACGTTCAATCTAATGAAAAATTTACAATCAAACAAACACCTCAGTCGGGTTTATAAATACTTTTTAAATAGATTCTGAATAATCCTATCATATATGCAGGGCACAATCCCATTAGACTCGCCTTTACTGCCCAATTACAGTCACTTCGAGCAACACCTGCGCCCATCTATTTATTGTCACGGCGAAAACCATTTACAGAAAGACTTTGACAGTTAGACAATTGACCATTTGTGGAGCCGAATAAAAATAACGACCAAGCCCGCAAAAGGCCCAAAAACTTACACTGAAGTCACCAGATTTTGCCAACTGAAGAGTAGACCGTTCTCAGACTACTTAAAATTAACACTTATAATTACCAGCCAGTTGGCCATGATTTTGTATGTTATTTCGATTTTCGTTTGTACCCCTTGTCCATTTAAATTTAAATAACTAATTAGCATATTTGAAAGCCATGCAGTCTGCTGGGCTCGATTATAATGAAAAGCACGTTGAGTTGAGCGGCTGTGAGCTACCAGATACTTTATTACACATAAATTTATTCGTTCGTTGGTTCTGCTTTGCTGGTGCCAGTATCGCTCTACACTACACACAAGGCCCCTAAAGCGGGTTTCACAAAAACCTAAACAGAAAAGTGGATTTTGCATTGAAACCCCGATGATATTCTTGTTATGTGTGTGATATTTTTAAAGCGTGACCACATGGCGACCGCTTGGCCTGTGAACGGCTTCCAGTTTGGATGTCAGGGCAATTGAACTTCTGTATTGTTCTTTCTTCCGTTTGGGGGCGTCAAAGCCAAATCAAAAATCCATTTGCTGCTGTATTATAAACATAGGTCCACTGGCATTTATGATGTTCACGTTAAATTTTTCGGTAAGAATATACAGTTTTGGTGTATTATATGGACTGAAAAATTGTATGGCCTGTTAAATTATTGATTAACAGAAAAAATATCTAGCTGTAACTTCGTTATCATATTGTGGTTGGATGTTTACTTAATAAGGCTTACCGCTGCAGCGTAAATAATGCATGTACATATTTAGTTTGTGCTGATTCGGGGAGAGGGCTAAGGTTAACGCGAGCCTTTTAGCACATCCTGTTGCTCTGGTCTGCTGACCAAATTTTATGCTTGGCTTGCCTGAAACAAAAGCCGCCCGTGACCGCAGGCTGCAATGCAACCCTTTTTCGATTCTAGTTTTCTGGTCTGAGTGGATTTTCCCGACAGCTCTTTGCCAGTCGGCTGTATCGGCGTGCAATCTGCCTTCTCCCGCCTCCGAGTCTGTTGCATTCAGGCGTGAACATAACCAAACCAGCAGCACAACATAACTCCACTGACGTACGCACATATGACCATAAGTGCACTTTGCGCCACTCTGAACACGGCTGCCAATGGTTTTGGCCTAGAGTCATCTCTAGAGCTGTTTATGCGGCGGCGGCAGTTACGTTTTACATGTTTACGCTTATAATTTATATTTCATATTCGTCAGTTGCATAAATTCAGCGCCTATACCCGTACTGTTGCCCGTGGACCTATAGAGGTGGGTGTGGTGTCTGTCAGATATGGTTCCAGCTCCAGGCTGTATGAATATTTATTGGTTTTGGAAGGTTTCTTGTCAACATAACTCCCAAAACCAATAATAAACCAATAACCACACACATCGCTTTTTTTCTGTGTAGAAGTGTACACATGCTTAGGGAGCAATTCTAAAAAAGATAACGATCTATGTGCGTATTTACATTTAATAATAGAAAGGTTACATGTCCTTTCTAGACATATGTGTGTAATAGATGATATTTGCGGCAAGAAGTAAAGTTATATATATTAAATGTGATTGATGAATGTATTGCCAGCCCATTGATAAGCGATAATCAAACTGAAAATTAAGCCACACGAACTCTAGCCCTACAATAATTAAGAGAAAAGTCAAAGACCATAAATGTAGGTACTATACTTAATTATTCATATACCTATTGCATGATTGTATGAATGTTTTTAAACATCCAAGAATAAAATATAATTAAAAGACGAAAATCTAGTTTTATCTACAAGTACATTTTCAGACGGAAAGTTCCATCAAAGAACAATCACAGAAATATGAGATGCCAAGTGATAAGCCGAAGGAACTATAATTGAAAAGTATTTTCCTGCTTTCTGCCTTTCTGTCCCTGTCCCATACTTTATGTGTCACATATTTCAAAAACTTTGCAAGTTTATGATGCGCCCAAATGGTTACCAGTATATGGCCCTGCGTTCTCCCGACCCCCGTGGTCCAGTGCGCTCGAATTTTTATCTCGGCTTCGCTTTTAATTGAGTGCCCAGCGTTGCGCAAGTGCTCTGGACAGCTGCTTAGATGGCGATGGTGTGACTAACGAATAACGGTACCTCCGAGAGCGCAGACATATGAGAAATTCCGCAAGAGAGTTGAAATTGTACTCTCTTTGATTGGTCCCTAAGAGAGTGAAGCGAAACGCTGAACAGTGGGCAAAAGTGGAAAGAAATAAGTCGAAAGGAATGAATGGTAGTCTAAATAAGTCTCATATTTGGATTCATGCGGGAAAGCTCAATCGTGTCCACTGTGCTGCGCGCTTGGCCTCAATACAATTGGCCTGTTAACAAGTAACATTTGTCTTGCAGCCTGCTATGACGTCATTACCTACATAAGCGCTCCACAAAAAAGGACACCATCGCCTGAAAGTACGCCGCCCGCTACCAGCAACAGTTGACGGCTGTTATCCGAGCCCCGCCAAGATTCAAAAGCTCCCGAGAGAGAAACTGCCCGAGAGAGGAGTAGCTTATCCGTGGAGCAGCTCGGCTCGGGTATAAAAAGTCGATTGTCCTGGCAAGTGGAAAGCAGTCGAGCGAACGACTCCGTTGCGAACGTGTCTAAGACAGAAGCTGAGATACTGGAAAGCCACGCGTTGTCCGTTATTGTTTCCACAAGTTTGAATAAATGTCCTGAGGTACTGAGTGCTGTATACCTTTATATTCGAGTGATTCGTAATTTGATTCGTGAGTGAGTCCGTGTTCCATCTCTACGGTAGTTTGCGTCGCGAGGCGTCGCGTTGATAGAAGGCACGAAAACCAATTAACAGAGACTTAGAGCAGTTGACTCTTTTTGGAGGAGCCCATACACAATGCAGACGGTGCACAAAACTGCACACAGCAGCAAATGGCTGATGCTGTTGCTCTCAATGCTGCTCAATGCCGTAAGTCCTGGGGGATTATATTTTCAATTTTCAAATTTTTACTCGTATCAGCAGCATTCGGTCTTTGTGTTTCATGGACCGTCGCTACTTCCTCTGCCTGCTTGCCGTCTCCTAAATATATCTTTTTATGTGTTGACGTGTGTTTGGTGTGGTATGCGATTCTGTGAAATTGCTTTTTTCCCGTTTGTATACTCGTATCTCGCTCTGCTGGTCGTCCTAGCATGGTCGAATTGGTTGGAAATTGAAAATAGGATATAATAAAGCGTTGCTAGCTAAGGGACTTATATAATTAGCTACTTTATATTTTAAATGATTAGGCTACAAAAGAATGTTTGCCAATACCCATTAAAAATATACTCAATCTAATAGTGCAGCTTAGTTTTGTAATTGCTCAAGAAATCATCCTTTGAGAACATGAACTCTCCGTTCCTAACCATTAAAAAAGAAAGTGTCCACTTACCATTAATTAGATTTTCAGAAAATACGAAATTGTCAGCAGCTGCTCACGTACACAGAGCCAAGAAGAGGACCAAACTGGACTTCATTTTTCAAGGCACCGTCACTTTGTAGTAATTTATATTTGCCAAAGCCACGCCCTGTTCGAGCAATGGGCGGCATTCTTTGGCATTTGTCTTCTGCAACAGTTGCCATTGCGGTTGCAACAACGTCATGCTGACCACTTGCGCGGTGGGTTGACATTTGCGGTCCAAAAGCTCAACTTTACAGTTATTCATTATTTTTCTTTTATTGCTGTATATGTGGAATTTTCCATCGTTGCCGACATTTGCCGACATTTTTCAACATTTGTGTGCCTTGCTCCCTTCCCAGACTCTTCATGCCCTGGTCCTTGATAGCTGTTCGTCATATCTGGAAGCCTGACTGTAAAACCAAAAACTGCACTGACAAATTGTTATTCTCCTGCATAAGACTTTTGGTCGACCTCACAAATGGAATTTTGTTTGCAGTTTAATAGAAAGGGTCAAAAATATTTCACATATTTTGTAAACCATTGACGAAACTGTTTTTAGTGTTGGTTTCTCTTAAGTGCTTTTGGGATAGACAGGAATATTTTTGGAGAAAGTGACAAAAATAGAGGAATTTAGCTCGAGCTGTAATGTAGATGATTATTTTAAACACCAAATTTCGTATTGATTAATTACTATTAGCCTGAATAAGTCAGTTCATCAGCGACTGATGCGGTTTCATTCAATATTAAATGAATACAGACATACATTTCATTCATATTTTAATGACAATGCACCAAAGCGGGATTGACAGTGACAGTTAGCAAATGCAGGGGAAGTTGATACGGATGCAAGAGGGAGTCGTATTGTTGCGTGAGAGCTTCCTAATTTCAGAATGCGAGCCACAGTGTACGATCTATGACGCATCACCCTTCAACGTCAATTGCGATTGCGGTTCTGTGACACAAAGTGATATAATTAGAACAGACATCGATTAATGCTGCATGCAGCGAGTCATGTGCACCGAATCGATAGCAATTAAAACTGATGCACAACAGCATTCAAAGAAAATCGCTTATACGAAATGTTGAAAGCGGAAAAATGCAAGAAACACGCACTTTTCAGCGCGTGTCTGATGAGTATTGGCTAATTGGAATACATACACACTGGTATCATTGCCAGTTCTTGTCCTAAATCAATCTTCAATTTAATCGCTCAGTTTTAATCTTGTTTCAGCAAAATTATACTATAGAATGGCCATCAAAGAGCCAATCTACAAATAATGGCTATTGGCAATGCTAAAAACTTTTTTCAAAGTAAAAATACAGACAAAAATGTATTTAATTCAAATGGAATAATCAACTTGGGTCAGACATGACCGAAAATGTTAATGTTTATTTAGGAAGCTTCTCATCCCGTTTTTAGTTTTTTAGTAAGCTAAATCATTTGAAAAATATTTTCCTTTGCTTGACATTTTATGTGATTCCTCAGCTGACTTTGCACTTTTCTAATAAAAAAAAGAATAAAGATACATACTTTGTGGAAATATCACATTGTGTCAAGCATACTTCCAATAATCGAAGGCAGGAAAATGTAATGCAAATATGTGCTTATAGTACTGCACATGTATTTGAACATATATGTTCAAATGCCGGTGGAGGAATCTGTGGAAAACGAGCTCGCAGTGTGACAAGATATCAATATCGTCTCATGTTGCCATTGTCGCGCCAGTTGTCAGTTAACATTTTCATTAAAATGCCAGAAAGTTAAATGGATTCAATGGAGCACAATGGTTATAAATTGTACCACACCCACGGGAGAAAAAGCATTGGGTGGTTGGGTATTGCCGGGAGCTGGTCTGGTCTATTACCTCACTTCCCATTGCGCTGCGCGTTATCTATTGCCAAAGCTGAAAAATCATTTTTTGCTTTTGCGTTTCAGAAAATATTCGAGAGTAAAAACCTGTAGGGGTTTGAAAGGAAGTGTTCACAATAGGTCCTTGAGATAGCTTTAAGTTACGCGTTACAAATTTCAAGAATCGTGGGTGTGCTGTTGCTTGCCGATAGGCCACGACCATGTAAGTATTGTAAACATATTCGTATTTACACTATCGTTTTCAAGACTCTTTCCTCCATCTTGTTTGAGTTTCAGGCTTATTGGCACTTGGTTAACTTTATATACCACTCCCCAATGGAAAACTTTATTGATTATTGTTTTTTGTTTTCCATCAAATAGTTGTCCTGGCCTATCAATTCAATCTGGGTTACATCCATAATCCATATAAAGGTCGCCGATGCCCGCACCCTCGACATGCACTATATATTTATGGACCCATTGCCAATGGCTGCTTGGGTGTCAGTAATTACTGCCTCGGCCACAGAAGCATAGTCAGGCAGACGGACGCACCGCATATGGATTGTTTCAGCTTTTTCATGCTTATTTAAGCCGAATAACCGGAGTCATGTGGGTTTCATGGCATTCACAGGCAACTACAGTTAAGGATGGAATTCTATTAGCGTGGGCGAGTCAGAGATTGTTGGATGAATGCTTTTTTCACCAAATTCCAGTAATAGTGAAAATAAATGCAGGGACGAAAAACGGAAGTTACTAGGCAGTAATAAAAAGGAACAAAAATAAAACTATTAGCCATAATATTTTAATCGTAAATTAAAATTAAAAATATAAAATGGCGTTTCCGGCCCATTACTAAAAAGGAAAATTGAACAGCAGGAGCCTCCTCTTTTTAACCTTCAGTGTTCAAAATATTCTTGTAGAATACATAGCTTGGAAATTCAAACCTTTTCTCAACTCATCTTTTTTCCATCAAAATTCCATCAACGGTATGAAGGATTTAAGTCCCCTCCAACGCACCTCAGACACTCGGTATTCTTGGGAAGGTCAGAGCACTTAAGTTTTAATATTGCACACAGTATTTATATAAGCAAAATAAAAGCTAAACGAAATCAGCTACATACTGCGTCATTAAGTTTCCAAGGAAAGCGGACATGGGGGAGGCTGGCTGGACGAGGCATGTACGGCCTTCTGCGATAATAAAATTTGCTTGCGGCCGTATAAGCGGCTCAACAAGCAACAGCTCCGACAGGAGAAAAACAGATAACCATTGCTGCTGGGAAAAACGGGAAATTGGAGACTGGGAAGTCCGCAATCCCTTAGGCTCTATGTTGAGCATCATTAAGGGCGGTGGCCAGGACGATGAAATGTCAACACGATTCTCTTGGCTATCCCAAGCTCACACTTTCGCAACTTTTCCTCTGGCCATTGCAGTTCGTGCATGTTCTTATGCCCTATTAAACGAGCAATTTGGGTACGAATCAATTGTTTGACATATCGTTTATTGGCCATGTCCTGCCGGCTTTCCTCTTACTGAGCGTATTGAGCAGGCTAATGAAGTTTTTGTTTTATTTGCGTATTGATTTTCTCCTCTTTGTTCTCCATGAAGTTTAATTGGATTTTCATTCACGCAACCCAGATTCGCAGATGTAAGGACATTCGCCGTGCTCATTTACGATACAAATCCTTTTTTATTGCGACCGTGCAGATAAATTAATTAAATATTATCGCACAATCAGCCCAGGCAGTGTTTTGCTGTCAAACGCAGATATAAAACTACCAGTAAAGTTGAGTTGATGCTGAATGAGAGTAGAGAGTGTTTTAATTGCAAGCGAAAGGTAATTTGGATTACCCAGCTAAGAGAGATCTGATACGCTCCTAAGCTTACAACTTCAAAACAAAAATTTAACATTAATGCAGTAACGCGAATTCAGAATATTTAGTTATCTTTGCAACCTAGAAAATGTTTGCAAAATTAGAGAAATAAGGTGGGAAACTTTGTCAACGGAAAATGGTTTCTACCCCAGTGTTGCTTTTCATTTGTCCTCCCATGAATAGGGACCTTGGCAAGGCAGCACAAGACTGCCACACTGCTACGCAGTGTATACCGCTCGACATTTAGCGTTTTTGTTCGTTTGTTTAGGAAATGCGAGCCACGCAGTTGCATAGAGACATAGAACTCTTAAAGCCTCGCTCCCTATTCAGTCCCATGCACGACCCAAAGGCCAAAATAAATACCAAAATTTTCGCTTTGTCGTTCTGCGAATTATGGATATTCAAAAGAATATTTATGGACGGAATTCATGAATAAACACTTTAATTGCCTGTGCGTGACCAATCTATTTGTTGCTTGAAATAATTTTCTGAAAATCGGGGACCACTTTAAGCTACCAAAATATATAGTAAATATATCCGAATTATATCAGTTGCAGTTGACTTAACAAACACCTTTGGGGCATTACTTCGAGTGCTAATAAGACATGAGCTCTGGCCTCACACAGTCGCCCAAATAATAACAGCAACAGCTTCGGGTGCGGGACCAAGAGTATAACACACAAGCACACACGCACGAATGCGCATTCGAGTGGTTGGGTTGTCAATTTCTCCTTGTGATTTACGAACCCTGGCGCCGCCAGCGAGCACATCCTAGAACACATCCTGTGCGCCTGCCTTCTGTTGAGCATGGATCCACTTCCGCCTTCCATTCTCTCCGACGGTCCAGCTATTAAGTACGGAATCATTGTCTCTTGGTTCACTATTGGCTCACAATCTGAGCGGCAGACACCCACATGTGCATAAACACACACATACTCGTACTTTTAAGATATCCATGAGTTAGCTCCAGGGAACTGGGAGTTATCCTTTCACTTGAACGACCATTTGACCAACAAACTGTTTCGACTTGTCTATGCTTGTCTTGTGTACTTTCAAAGTAAAATGTTATGAGTTTGGCTTAGATAATCACAATGCTTGGGTACACTCACAAGCGCACTCACAGAGGCATACAAACTTTGTGTTCTGCAGGTTCAGGTTATTACTTTTTTTTTTTTTGACACTTTCTTTCTAGATGTGCATCAATGTAGGCATCATCTGAGCAACATCTTACCCTTACCACTAAGGTCTTTTGAGTGTTTTCCGACGCTCAAGTTCATTGAATTGAAATCGAGAAGACAATGAGCGAAGCCTCCACACATTTCAAAGTCGATTAAGCGTAAATAACTGCGGCGATTAAGGGGTAAAGAGCACACTAGGTAATGGACTACTTTAAAGGATCGTAGGCTAAAGTTTCCTGAAGAAATCTATAATGCGAATTATTTTATTTAAATGTTAAAGTTGCCATTGTTTCATAATTTCTGTTCTTACTCTTTAGGCCTTTCAGCCGCGCTCGTTTGCCGTGAGTGCCACTGATGATGTTGCAAATGTGTCGCCTTGTGAGATGGAGTCCATAATAAATCAATTGATGAACCCCAGTCCCGACTATCAGCTACACGTAAGTCACCTTCCCCAACTTGTTTGTATTTACCTTTGACGTGAATGGATTTATTTACGCGACGCCAGTGCAGAGCAACATCTGCAGAAGCTTTGAGTTTAAATTACTTTTCACCATTCCACATTTCACATTCCTTCTTCCTCTGTAGTCCTCCGCCTTACGTAATCAGCTGAAGAACTTGCTCCGTGAGCGCCAGCTGGCCGTGGGAGAGGAGCAACCCCTGGGTGAATACTCGGACTATATGGAGGAGGACAAGCGTTCAGTTGCTGCCTTGGCTGCGCAAGGTCTTCTTAATGCCCCGAAGAGAAGTCTGGCCACCTTGGCCAAGAACGGACAGCTACCCACGGCGGAGCCTGGCGAGGATTATGGTGACGCGGATTCTGGTGAGCCGAGCGAGCAGAAGCGTTACATTGGTACTTTGGCCAGGGCTGGTGGTTTAATGACCTATGGCAAGCGAAATGTTGGAACCCTGGCTCGCGACTTTCAGCTCCCCATGCCTAATGGCAAACGCAACCTGGCTACCATGGCGCGTCTTCAGAGTGCTCCAAGTACTCACCGGGAGCAGCCCAAGCGGAATGTGGCTGCTGTCGCTCGCTACAACTCGCAGCAGCATCACAATCAACGCTCAGGAGCTGAGAAACGGAACTTGGGTGCTCTAAAGTCATCGCCGGTGCATGGTATGCAACAAAAACGCGAGGACGAGGAGATGCTTCTGCCCGGTGCTGCTGCCCCCGAATATACCGATCCTATGCAGAGTTATTGGTGGTATCCAAGTTATGCTGGGTACGCTGATCTCGATTGGAACGATTACCGTCGGGCCGAGAAACGTTTCCTAGGTAAGTGCTCGGTTGTGTGGAGTAGGCCTAAGTCTTTTATTTTTTTATTCAGCCTAACCAGCAGATGTATCCGTGACATACCTGCAAGAAAATATCGACCTCGGATAGCCGGGGGATTCCTTTGATTTCTCGAATTTTTGTTAATGCAATCAGCACTCTGCACCGTAGCTAGCTGCTATCTGGCACCTTATTCGAGCACAGTTTTTGTATATACGTTTATATATATTATTCCATAAAAGACACTTCCAAGGATCCCGAGTTGTTCGGCATTGAGCATGGCAATGATGCTGAACAGGAGCAGGACACGGAGCCAGGGAATGAGCCGTTGACATCGCCGCAGAAGCGACACATTGGCGCCGTGTACCGCTCGGGCTTTCTGCCCAGCTACCGATACCTTCGCAGTCCCACTGGAGTCGGGGGCGGGCGCTTTAGTCGATCAGGACGTGACGCCAGGCAATTTGTATGAGTAAATGGCGATGGTTCGATGTGTGGTCCTTAAGTGTATTTTATTTTTGTATAATTAATTTTCTTGTCATGAATGTGACTGCATTTTAATGTTTTTGGTAATTGGAATGAGCTGGAATCAGGTTATATTATGTCTGACGAGGAGTTTATAGCACTTTCCTGCCAGAGAACTTTCACCTGTGTCCTTTCGCTTGGCTACTGGTAGTGAATGTGTTGTGATTTTGTATTGAGCATGATAGACATCGCCTAGTAGACGTTGTAGCTTATAGATTTACTGTCGAAGTTGAAAATAACACATTTCCGCTTGCATTATAACTTTTTCTCGGAAATTCCATTTCCTGCCACTTGTGACAAATGCCTTTATGCTATGTTTTCCATTTTCTTCGTCTGTTGTCCTTGTTACGGTATCATTTGGTGTTGAGGATAATCGGCTAATTTCCGTCACATTGTCTGGCAGTTGGATTACTCTTCATCCTGCTTAATTTTGGCAGCTAACTTTTCTGAAAAGTTTTCAATTTCACAAGGCCAGGGTATTAAGCGCTTTAATGCTGTCCTTGTTGGTGCAATGAAAATGGAACTTTAATATATCACTGGTTTAGTATTTTCATAAAAAATTTTGAAATTTGGCGGCTGAAAATCTATGTAGTACCCCAAGACTGTACAACACCAAGATGCTGAATGAGGAACATACATACATACATACATACATATTTCACCCTTCAAAATATAATTTTGAATATATGTATGTAATTTTATTTTAGGAGACATATATGTAGCACTCAAAAATGAAAATTGTAAAAGTGTGAAAAAGTTAATTGAACTCTTGTTCGCTTATTAATTTAGCCAGCTGATATAGGCAAAGGCCCCACTGTGCGAAAGTCATGCACATGCATGCGCAGACGAAGCATCGCCGAAAATCGCCTCTGTCTATGAAGAGTAGCGATAAGCCCCGCCATAGAACCGGTTTTCTGGTCGCTCATTGAGAATCTTGTTATTGTATAGTCTTTGGTAGTACATTGCATGTACATATGTATATACGATACGTACATATGTATGTCAGGGATGAAGTCCAGATTTTACATACATATGTATACATGTATGTATGTATATGCACCATAGTTAGCAAATATATTCTTGATTTTGTGGTCCGGCCCCATGGTTTCGATTATATTTTCTGTTCCAAAATGGTAATGAAGGATTTAAAAATATTATTATCGATATCTATGATATAATAAAGTTTGTTTTATGCGATTTTAATGAAATTTGATTTTTTTGAAATAAATATATTTCTGTTGTTCATAAAAATGTTCGATTATTAAATAATACATTCGAAGTTTGGAAACTAGAACCACAGTTCCAAAGTTCTAATTTCTGGACATTTTCTGTGCAAAAAAAATGTCCAGAAACATTTTAAGACAAACCAATTTATCTATTTTAACATATAAAAATTGAACACATTAAAATTCAAAGAAAAAACTTTTTATTTTTAAATTTTTAATTTTAGTTTTTAAATTTTTACTTAGACCTTCAGTCATCAACTAATACTAATTTCTACAAGCGAATCGAACATGCAATTTTATTTTAAGTCAAAGGCGAAACTGTAGAGGTAACAAAAAAAAATCTTCCAGAGCTATAGGTTCTAATTTCAGAGTCGCCAATTAGAATAAATCTTAAAATTTTTCCAATCCAATCCAGCAGTTGCTAAATTGATTTAATTTCTGGAACTACTTCTCTGGCGCCAGAAGGAAAACGGCAATAAATGGAACATAACATAGCAAAAGTTTTGACATTTACACCCAAAAATATGCTACGAATCCGAAACTGTTGGCTTATTGTTTTCGAATATATGAAATACAATTTTTATCGATCTATCGATATCTAAAAAAAGCAATAATCTTGGACGTTGCAAATTTAAGCATTTTCATATAAATTTGTGAAAATTAAACACCAACGGTAGCGCCAGTGCCTCCAACGCTTTTTTTGGTATTCATGTTGATAAGTTTTCATTTGTATATAAATTCCCTTACAGCTGTTTAGTTTTTACATATTATTATTCAATAATTTAGATTAATCTGTTCTCTGTATTGGCATGCTACGGCTAATTGGCATGTTTGACTCTAACATTAAAGTTTCTGTTGTTTACTTTGTCGTTTTAATTAGATGAAAACGCGTTCTAGGTGCCCTTATTCTTGTAGTGAAGCTTGTATGAGATTTTTATATATCTACAACTTTCACATCGAGTCACTTAGTGCACTATTATTTGATGTATATCTGTAAACCTGTTATAGCCGTTCGGTTTGGTGCTTTATGGGATAAGACTAATTTAAATCTTCGCCCCATTCAGGTCGCGTACTACCCCCAACACGAGCGACTGCGTCAACCCATCGCAGCCGTTTGTAAACGCTGTTTCCTACCCAACCAACCGACGATGAATTGGAGCGGTGCTGGCATACGCGGTCGATTGCCTAAACTATATGAGGATACCGAGGGCGAGTCACCCAGCGCCTTCCCTGCCCACATGCGAAGCATCTCCAGCAACTCGCTGCCCACGGGATCAGCGAGGAGCCCAAAGCGTCCACTTTCCCGCTCTGGTGCTCCTGTGTATCCTCCCTTCCACTCTTGGGGTACTCCGCCGCGTATTACAGCACTGCATCGACGCGAATTTCGACGCAACATGGACAATTATGAATACTAAATATCGACAATATACTCTATATACAAATTATGCTATACAGACTACAATAATACTATTAATGGAACTTTAAACTCATAAAAAATTAATGTAGCTCCCCCAAAATGAATTGACTTACTTGGCAAGCACACACAACTACATACACCGACGTGTGGTTGTTAGTGCCCCATTCAGTACGTTGTATCTGTGTCGATATATGATGAATAATATCTACAAAACTGAAGTAACTGATATCAGTGCAAAGCGAAAGAACGTTTAATATCAATGCAAATCATATCGCCATATATGATTTATACACTTGAAGATAAATACTAAATTAGTGCCAATGTCGTACCTTAGCAGGAAGTGCTAGTGTCTCAATCGAACTAAAACTTGGTGAACTCCACTCGAACGGAAATATACTGATAACCCTTAGCAGTATTCTTTTAGAATTTCTCTCTCCACCGTCAGTATTTTATATGTATATGACAATAACGATTCCCTTGTAATCCAATGCTATAGTGTGCTAAGTGTGACTAATACGATTATATATGTATGTATATGTGACAACTGCTTAAAGACAATAAAACTTCGGTGAATATCTTACATACTTATATCAATATACCCGTTAAATAATAAACATATGTACTTCAGACAATAAATAAAGTATTGACAATAAAATATTGATCTATTTCAAATATTTTGAGTATTTCATTCAACTTAAAGAATTTGAATTATTTGTTAAGGTCCTTGAAATAATAAATAAACATATTCACTATGCGTAATTATAAGTCTGATGTTGTCAATATTTAACATAATGGTTTGCTTATCAACTCATAACATTCACTTTGCAGAAGGTTAGAAAAACAGTATTTACTATCATGTACTATTTACTTCGCTTATACTATAGGTATTTAAAATACCCAAGGAAGCAGAGTTCGCTCTTGAAAAAAAAGAAAAGCTACAAGAACTCACTGTTGAAGTTCGAATACTATTAAAATATCAAAGTTACATACACAATATGTATACACACATATATGAAATATTAATCTAATAAAATTATATACATATTACTGGTTTGATCCTACACTACTGAGCCAGAATTGTGTCGTATCTCAATGGGAGGTGTACACGGCTCAAAAAAAAGGAACTATCAATTTGGTAATCATCCGTGCATGGGTAGGTGTTTTGAAACTTCCATAACTTCTCATATGTATGCATAAAGTCCAATCCATTGAAAATTCAATTTATATAATTTTTATATTCATTTGAAAGTTCACTTCTATTTAATTTATTAAAAATATATTTTAATATATATGCATTTTTTATGTTGAACAATATCGCGTCACGTTTAGAGTATAAAAATAAATATGTATATCTATCTATCTATCTATCTGAATAAACTGCTTAAATAGAAACACGTTACCAGCCTTAATGCGCCTCTAAAAGCCATGTAATTCACATGTAGTAAGCGGAGTACTCCTAAATTATAGCCAAGCCAATATTTTCCATATTCACGTTCAGAGTGTATAAATAGTTGCCTAACATTTACATGTGCCTCTGCTGATAATTGAAATGCATATAACTGACACGAAAGTCGAATGGGGTTCTGTCCCCTGAGCGTGCAAAACGCTCGCAGAGTGTCGTCACCGGATTTCATTAACTCATGACCAGTACTTGGCCTGACCCTGCGCCGGCAACGGGTGATTGTAGGCAGCGGCCGCTGCTGCATTTCCATGTGCCGCTGCAGCGGCATAATCATTCAGCTGGTGCTGGGCTACATGGGCATTGTAGTTGGCTGCCGCAACAGCTGACTGGTTGAGATGGTACGCAGCCTGCGACCAATTTGAGGGCGATTCGAGCTTTGAGTAGTTGTCGCTTAAGTGCAAGGAAGGCGAGATCTTTGAAACGCTATCGGCGGTTAGTTTGGAGAAGTCATCGATGGTCAGCTTGGAGTAGTCTGCGTTGGGAGAGAAAAGCCGGGATGAAATTATGTACCAAAGAATGTAAGATGTGAAAGGAAAGACTTTGATTACAAAGGATCGGCAAATGTTGCAGAGCCGTTTCTCTGTTTATGTACCTTGGTGATAGTAGTTTTGACTGGCAAAGTGGCCGGGCTGTGCAAAACTTCCAGGGAATCCGTGCTGTGCGGCACTTTGGACCAAGTCGTAGCCGCCCATTTGTGTGTGATGATGCACCGCCGCCGCTGCAGCTGCTGCAGTGTGGTGGGAGCTTGGAGCATGAGCGGAATGATGAACACTATCGTTAATGCTAGGCCCATTGGCGGTGGTCCCAGCAGCTGGACTGTAGCCCGCCATTGAGCCAACGGCGAGGGGACCGAAGCCGAGTGGAGCCGTCGCTGCACTGGGACCAACGCCCACTCCCACTCCTACACTTGCACTTCCACTGTTCATTGGCGAAAGACCGGAACTTGATCCTCCAGAATGCTTCCTGAGACGAGCCCTTCGATTGGAGAACCACACTTGAATGCGAGCCTCAGTCAACGCTGTGGTTTGGGCGAGCTCCTCCCTGGTATAAACGTCTGGATACTGCGTGCGGGCAAAGGCCCTTTCCAAAGCCTCCAATTGCTCAGCGGTAAACGTTGTACGGGATCGTCGCTGCTTGCGTTTCAGTGGAATCCCAGGCTCAGACTCCGTATCACTAATATCCGAATCGCGGCCTGAAATTGAATGGAAAAGTTATCATCAGCTGGAACTCGTTCTTTATTCAAAGGCAACAAAAATTATTAACGCCTCGTAAGAAGCCATACAATTTTCCACGCTCATTGTTTTCCGACGAAACTGAATCATATATTGTCGTGTGGTTCGATCTGCGGATGCACCGCGTAGGGCCACCGACGTAGATCCTCAGCGATCGTGTGATCCCCAGATCAGTACAAAGTCATAGCTCCATATAAATGGGAGTCGACGTTCAATGCGCGCCATTGCATATTAATTGAAATGTCGGGGAGCGCAACAAATCTGTCAAAAGCCACCGACAATCACACAGAAGGCAGAAAGATGACGCGATCGGCGATCGGCACTTAGGAGGGTGGAAGGCAAGCTGCTGTGGCGAGGTCGTAGCCGCAGGCTCGTAAAAGTCACAGTACTTGACAAGTGACACAATATATCATATTACACAAGAAGATGATCGGCAAGTTGTCAGCGGCCATGGAGGAGTGCGCCAATTAACTTCGGCATCTGTTTACGAAAGGGAAAAGCCGCCGTCGTTGGCAATCGGGCTTGAAGCGCGGCGTGTGGCAGGGTCGGACGGCCTCACTGGAGCCGTGCCAAATTATTTGGAGAGCTCATTACACAATAAACTGAGTTTTCAAGGCGGGGCGGAGTCACAGCATTTGACGGCATAGGATGAAAGCAGAGAAACCATCGCTTATAATCGGGAATAATCAACAAGGTCACAAGCTCTTTTTTAAGATGAATAGACGCAGGACGACATATTTCCCGAATCTTACGGTGCATTTTTCGTGTGGGTGCTGATGTGTGTTTGTAAATGAAGCGGAAATACATTTTAGTCCGATTAAATTCATCGTCCTTTGACCTGAATGTAATCGTGGTTATCTGTGTGGTTGCATGGTGGCATGTATCCGTAAGAGCGCTGACCTTTTCTTCTGCGTTCAGTGTTAGAGTCAATCTTTTCCGGTCTGTCAAGTTAAATTATTAATTGACTTAACGAATGAGGGGATTTCCTGTTTCTTTATATACATATGTGATTAATAGTAGTTTAGACAACATGGGAAGTGAGATCTTTTGATGGGAAGGAATCACTTAAAGATATCCTTAACTGTTTCTTTGATTTAATATTTTATATAATCAAAACTGTAACTGTAGTGGTTTAAATGGTCATGTACCATATTAGTAGTAAGTACTTTAAATGTAAATTTCGAATGGTTTAGATTTGCATAAGTCAAGTTAGGTTATCAAATATTCGTACACACAAACCCCAAAAATGATAAATAAACTTTCGGTACGCTTATAAGCTCCACGGATCCCCAGACCACACCCAACATCTCCTCAAGCGATACCTTGGATTGCGGAACGCCCACAGTTTAGTGCGGTCTGTGGTCAAATAAAGAAATCGAAAAGTTCACATACGTATTAAGTAAAAACGAATGGATATGAATGATAAAATACAGAAGTCGCACTATTAATCTTTCAACACACGAGACAATAAAACTTAATTATACAAAATAAGGGGAGTCGATGTCGATTCCAAATACTGCAGAAGCCATGGAAGCCATGGAAAGAAGACAAAGAAAAACGGTTCGAGAAACGACACCAAAGCAAAGGTGGAAGGTAGAAAAATCAATTAGTTTTTAAATGTTAAACATTTTATTAATTTGTTGTTACTTTCCCATTAATAATGCTCGTATACCGATAAGAGAGCCGACACTGGCGGTCCAAAGAGAAAAAATCCAGCTGCGCCCGTAAACAAAGGCCCCTTTTATTATTTTGGCACCAGCATCGACAATGGCTCTGGCACCACTTTGGCTACCGTGGTGCTGCTGCTCTGTCTTTCAGTTTTGAGGCTTTATTTTGGGCACTGGAGCCTGTGGAAAATTGTTTGGGGGCTCTAAGCTTTGATAAATTACTGTGGCTTAGTAATCTGGGAAGAGTATTCCATCATTTTTGACGACGTGTGTTTTCAAGTTGCGTTTTTGAACAGCAGGCAAGTCAGCAGGTAGTACTTCAGAGGGACCTGAGGGAACCGACCTCCCTGCTTCTGCCCTGTGAAGCAAAGTGCAAAAGGCCAAACGGGCAACTTTTAATATTATTTTCTATTTTTTTCATTTGTATTATTGGAGACCAATCACTTCTTATGGACAATTGCAGCATAGCCTTTGTCCGAGCTGTGGCAAAGATCAATCTGCCTTTGTCTATTATCTTATTCGAGCACATATCATCAATCAACAATCTTGACATTGACTCTATCATTTAAATTGGTGCATCTGATGTTAAAGTCTTTGGGGCTGCAGGCAGAATCAAACTTCAATTGAAAAAAACAATTCTTAAATAACGTTTTTTACACTGCCCTGCTCGAGAGAGAGAGAGAGAGAAATGGCTGCAGCGGCTGCGGCCCAACCTGTCAGCTGTCAGTGCAGAGACACGCGCGTTCTCTGTCGCCAAACATCAGATTTGGGATTTGAAAAATCTTGGGGTCTTATGACATGGACTTGGGCATGGCTGAAGGGGCAACCCAACTCAGCTCAGTTCAGTTCAGTCGGATATGTTATTTTTTAGTCCTCAGGTTCATGTCAGCAAAAGGATTACAGCAGCTTTAAAACTTATGCCGGTTTTATGTTTGACAAGATCTAAGCCGGTTATGTGTATATATACATGTATAATGAACATTGTACATAGTATATGTATATACAATATGTAGACGGAATACTTGAAATTTAGAAAAAAATAGTACGGCTATTTTTTTAAATTGAAGAAGTTCATGATGGAACAGATAGTCGGCTTAGTTCTGAAACCGTATAATTATATGAACATCAAATTATTATTTAAATGCTTCTATCGAACATGAATATTCTATCAATTTGTGTTCCAAATGCCCTCGCAATGGGAAGGAAAGCAATTCGGAATCGAGAACAAAATCGAAATACAAATGAGCGGACAGCTAAATACTATTATCAGATCAGATTCCCAAATCATTTCCCAATGACGCCCATTTAAACTAATTTACAAAAGTTGTCGGGCCATCGATGAAGAATGATGGCAGATGGATAGGGAAAAGAGAATAACATGGGGCCAAAATTAGTTATAATCATAATCCGGCGGCAAAAGAAACGAAATCGTCAAAGGAGTCAAACTTGGGGTCAGAAGGAAATGAAACTAATTTAAATAACAATGCATACAAACACTTGATCAAAACAAATCCCAGATGATGTTCAACCTGGCAATGGCGAAGAGAGTGAGATAGAGCACGATTGCGAGTTTCCAGAGGGGAAAGAGATATACAAAGTAGAAGAGAGAGACTGAACGAGACAGAGAAGTCGGTTAGAGTGTGATAATGCGTTAATAAAATATTTTGTAACTCA